TCACACCTACAACAAGGAAATTTCAGAATTTAGCACAAAGAAAAATTCCCATTGAACTTAGTTTTCATCATTTCTTCTATCCAAAGCTAGGTAATATATCACATTTCCTCTTTGTGTAGGCTCCAATGAGACTCAAACCAACAAGCAAAAAGGAAAAAACTCAAGAAGTCTGCTTCTCACTTTTTTCTGTGGTTCCCATTCTCTATACCTATTGTATTAAATATATATGTTTCTGTAAATAATTTCAATTCCCTTTTGCAATACAAATTTCTTAAGAAAGTTCAATTTTGCTTTGTATCAGTCCTACAATCTGCATTTAGTTTGGCTTTCTCTATTCATGAATATCACTGAAATATAACACTTCAACAAGTGAGGATGCATTGTTTGAACATACTTTTTAAATGAAAACAAGCAAACAAATGGAAAGGAAAGGCATTAGAAGCATGTACAGAATCCTAATGGGACCTAATTTGCATAAAACCTAATAAATACCTAATTTAATATGTAAGTTTTGGTGTTAAACTCAAGGAAATTTTCCTGAAACATTTCAATTAGAATTTTCACTTGTGCTCCTAAGTTATTTTCCACATTGGGAAAATCTGGGCTTTATGACCAGTCTGAACTTAGGTAATTTCAATGCTCAGATATGTGTAGGAAACCTACACCTGTTTTCAGGGCAACTTGGTGGGGTTTTTGGAATCTATAAAGACAGAATAAAAGAGAGAAGACTCAAGGCAACAAAATAAAAAAGGCCATGAAAAAAAGTAGAGGCTTTCTATATAATACGAATATTTGGCATTTCATAAGAGAATCACCATAAAAAGTGAAACTATTATCTCACAAGTAATTCCTTTTTATAAGCCATTGCAATTTCTGTAACTCACATTTCTATACTTATAACTAACAACCCCAATCAATCCTCCCAACCTACATATACATCATCACCCTCAAAGCCACCTCCAACAAGCTTACATCTACAACTTTTTCAAGGTTTACATAAGGATTCTCCAAAGAAATAAATTATGTATAAATGCTTGTTATTTGGAGACAAGGAAAGATTGTAGAACATTTACCACATTCCAACTCAGTAAGAACAATGTTTATGTTTGCATTAAATGCTGGATTCCTTTCCGCAGCATCACACAGCTATCAGTTCCAGAGTGCCCTGCGGTCCTCTTTTGGGTACAAACGGACATAGGTGGAAGCTGGAGAAAATGCAACTTAAGTCTGCCAGAAGGGAGTCAAAAAGTTTCACCGAAAGATAATGCTTGACCTAAGATGTGAAGGTAAAAGAGAATCAAGCCAAGTTAACAAGGGGGGCTGTGGAGGACAGGTATGGGAAAGCACATAGTCAAAGACACAGAGCAGGAGAAAACCAGCAAATATTGTGGAATGTCAAGTGACTAGGTGTTAAGGCAGCAGGAGCAGATCAAAAAGAGTTTTGCATACCAGTCAGAGTTTATATTTCATTCTATAGTAACAGAAGTCATTTAGTCACATAGAAAAAGCATTCTAATCACAATGAGAGGAGAGAACTATCAGAAACAAATAAGCAAAAGTTCTGTGAACAAATGAGAAACAACGGTCATGAAAGATGGCAGGAGATGATGATGACTGGAGTTCTTTAAAACAACTTAGTCACACATTCAAAGACCTTATCCACTGATCACCAAGGTTTGTAGGAAGTTAGCATTCCTTTTCAAATATTCCATATAATTTTGTAAGTTTTTAGTAGGAAAAAATAAGAAAACTCACAAACAAAAGCAATAAAGCTGACTACTTCATACTTACTATCATAGCTAAGATATGGAAACAACCAAAATTCCCAAAACCAGATGACTGGATCAAGAACACATGGTTCATGTACACCATGGAATACTACTCAGCCATCAACAAAGACAAACGCATGCCATTTGCGGCAACATTGATGGAGCTAGAAGGACTTATGTTCAGTGAAGTCACATGATTCCACTTATAGGAGGAATACAGGGAACCAAGTAAGGGGGTAAGGAATAAGACAAAACTTGCAGGCAAACTAAAAACTGGAGACATTTAGCTGGGGAGGGGAAGGGAGAAGAATTAAAATAGGAGAGAACTGCATAAGAGACTATGGTGAAGGTTCATGGGTGACTTGATGGTGGTAATTTTATGAGGACTACACCTGATAGGAGAAATCAAACATTGTACAAAAGTGAACAATGATATAATTTTTTTTATTATTTCCTATTATAAACCAAAAAAAAAATCAATGCACTTTTGTGTTATTTTAAAACAATTTGCATGCAATAAACCACTAGAGTGATTTTTCAGAACTAAATTGTTTATACCACCAAGAGAACCAAGAAGTAAGCCATGCCTGAGATGAGATTTTAGTTGAAGAGATAAACTTTGCAATAGAATAACTTAAGCAATTATACAACCAGATGATCTTCCCTTATTATAAATACTATTACTTTATTATCAATACCATTTGCAATCTCGCAAATTACTATGATTTTCAATGCCTTTCATATAAGGCAACTATTCTCCAAACTGTATATTTTGGTACTTCACCATAGGTTTCTACACAAATTCATTGAAAAGGTCACAAACACAACCATCTAGCCATTGCTTGTAATTAAAAATTAGGTTACTAATTTCAGTCTGCATAAATACTATGCACCACACCATGCATGTTCAGCGTTTGCTAAATGAATGGCCTACCTAACACCCAGCAGAGCACTAATCCTCTCTATCAATGACCTGTGTCCCCACTTTAGTTTAGCACCCACTCTCTAAAGATCACACCCTAACTAAAGAATGACTATACTTCTGTTACAACATGGCATCTAACCATGCTCACCCACCCATTCCCTTTTTTCATTCGCATTCTATCTATTCCATTTTGGCCATATCTTCAGGCCTTTGTTCAATGCTCCAAGACCACCATCCTCCTTACCCTTTCTCCTGGTCCAGAAAGAATGTTTCTGGTAACCTAATCTGTAAGTCTATTTTTCATCCTTTGTGTCTAATCCAGCAGCCTGAGCAGTCCCCACCTTGATTCATCTTTCAAGTTCTATTGCAGGTAAATGAACTCTCACAGAAAAAAACTGCTCAAAAATTCAGAGAGATGTCATTCAAATTTATAGCAGTACACATACTTATATGAATATTTATTGATCTGTTCAATCATTAAGTCACTGCCATCTGTTTTTATCCATGCTTCTAGACTGCAAATACCCATGCTAAGTAACCTATGATCTTGCAATTATTAAATTCAAATTTCTGTTACTAAATTATCATCCAAATTCAACCAGCCGTGTTTGAACCCTTTTTCCCCACAGTATTTGTTACCCTTGCATATCATACAATTACTTGCTTCGTGCCTCCCACAAAATGTAAGTTTCTCTAAGGGTAATGACCTTGTCCTTTTGAGACACTGTCCAGAACAGAGAGCCTGGCATATAATAAATGGTCGATAAGTATTTGTTTCATATTATCACCCGCCTCCTGGCCACAATCAATTAGATCAGAGGTAGGCCCACACTGAAACTAATTTTAGTATCTCCTCTGAGAGTTTAAACTTGGGACCAGGAGACTCAAGTCAGACTCTCCAAGTGGATATAAACTGCTCTTCAGGGTAAATAGAGAATAAAGCAGGCATGACAAAGAAGCAAGACAAAGAACAGCTGACATATCACATCTGGCTCCATTTTTCCCAATTATCAAGAAGAATTCTATCCTTGGTCTCTACAAATTTTACCAAGATCATTATAGTAAGCCACCTCTTTAACTTAAACTAATTTAGTTCCCTTTTCTGTTGCTTACAACTAACAGATCACTTCCTATACATTATTTTGTGGATAAACAAACTCAATAAATATTCTAAGACCACTGTTACCCAGAAAAATTAGAAAAGAAGTGAAGGCAAAAAGTTAAGAATTTCCTCCTGCACTGCTGGTGGGAATGCAAACTAGAATAACCACTATCAAAAACTAGAGGTTTCTCAAACTGCTAAACATGGAGCTTCCATAGGACCCAGCAATGCCACTTCTAGGTATCTACCCAAAAGATACAAAAACACTAATTCAAAAAGAACCTGAGACCTATGTTCATTGCTGCTTTATTTACAATAGGAAAGACATGGAATCAACCCAAATACCCAAAAGTAGATGACTGGATTAAAAAGATGTGGTACATATACACAATGGAATATTACTCAGCAATTAAAAAGATAAGCTCGTACCTTTGCAGCACCATGGATAGAGTTGGAAGGGATAATGCTTTGTGAAATAAGCCAGAAAGAAAAAGAAAAATACTGGATAGTTTCCCTCATAGCAGGAACATAAAGGACCGAGGGGTGGGGAGACTAATAATAATTAACAACTATATACCAGAGGCATTTTATGGGGTAAAGTGGGGAATGGGATCAAAAATGGGGGGGGGGAGGGGAGTGCACAGACCTATGGTGATGGCACACGGGTGAATTGGTGATGGGAAGTCCATGGGGATTACAACCGAGATGGGAAAAGGCATGATGTAAAAATAAACTATTATAATAATAAAAATTTTTAAGAAAATTTTGAGTTTTTGTTTAAATTCCCCCAAATGAACAATATGTGTAAATTTATGATTAACAGCTAACTCACTTTAATGAAAATGTGATGTTACCTCTTTACAATTTACAGACTCTCTCTGATGCCATACTTTAGCTGTTGATGGGAAAGAGCTTTTTCACATCCTCTCTAAATAAGATCACACACATTCATTCTAGCTCCAAAGCCATTTTTTGAAATGAAGTTTACTACTAATGTTACCTCATGCTAATTCTCCATAAGCCACAGAGGACATTAAACAGAGAATCGTGAAAGACCAGACAGAGCTACAACATTGCATAACAAATTAAGGATGGGGGAGCAAATGAAAATGCCTTGATTGATATTGTTATTTAGAAATAATAAGTTTCATCCTGAAGAACAGAAATCAAATAATTAAGAGTGGTACAGCTCACGGATACTTACCGAACAAACGCTGATGGAACAGAAATTTGCCAGCTATTAGTCCTGTGAGAATGGCCAGTAGCCACAGGAGCACCTTCAGGAGCCTCCAGCCAATGCCTCTGGGGTATTTATTTGTTACAAAGGAAAAACAGTTTCCAACAACAATAACATTGGCTTCTGTCTGGCTGTGAGAAACTGGGTCCTCCGCAAAGATTAAGAAGTTAAAGAAGATCACCAAGTAGGCCACAATCATGCGAGACCAGGGGTGCTGGAAATAGTAACGGAAGTCTTTACCCATCCTTCACAGCTTCAGCTCCGTGTGCACCTGTGTGAGGAAAGGCACACAGGGTTAGAGCAGAAAACGAGGCCTCTCTTTCCTATCCTCTACTCAGTGATAGTAATGACTCAATAGACAGTTGGAAAAAATAATACCTCTTTCTACCAAGGAAGGCATAAAGACATGGCTGGGATTGTGGGAGTTAAATTTGTCCCTTCCCCATCACTGACTACACCTCTCATCACTTGAGATATAGGAAAGACAGAGAATAAAAGAGTTGGGAGCTTCCCTGGTGGCCTAGAGGTTAGTCTTAGCACTGTCACCACTAAGACCTGAGTTCAAATCTCAACCAGGGAGCATGACCCACAAGATTTCTCCTGTCTTGCCTGCTTAAAAAAAAGGGGGGGGGTGCAGGATGGTAAAGCAGAACAAGAGAGGGCAAAACATCATCCAAAATAGGGGTGGCAACTTAGATGACACATCCAGGTTATCCCAGGAAGAAATGCAGAGCAAAATGCCAACTTTTCCTCGCTCAGATTACTGTTGTAGTACTATCACAGTACAGGGTGATTTACAAATCAGAGCAATTACAAGTCAACTGAGCACACAGGAATAAAAAATTAAATATCCTCCTCACCTCCGCTCCCTCTCCTTAGAATTAAGATGTTCTAATAATTCGGTAGATATACTTTGAGAATTTTTCTCTCCTTTGACACGTGTGTATTTGTGTGGACTTTCATGAAAATATTCACAACCTAGTGATCAAATAATTCCAACATGGAATACGTCTCATGAAACAGTTCTTGTGGACGACTATTTGCTTCCAGCATGGACTGGGAAACACTGCTTGTGGGAAGTGAGGCAAAAGGGGTGGATGGCTGGAACAGAGGGAGACATACCTATTGGGCACTGGAGGAGAAGGCGGATTTTTTTTTCTCCAAGTGAAGAAGGTAAGAGGGTTAATTAGGCATATGCAGAAGCACAGAGGGTTGCAAAATATGGGTCCGAACATAGAAGCACACTGCAAACCAGAGGCTTTTTAAAAATTCCGGTGTCCAGGCCCCACCTTCACAGGCTTGCCTGGCACCTTTTTTGCTCCTCAGCCAGCACATAACAAACACAAGTGCAGTGATAGGATCAAATCTGCCCACATCTGAGTTTTGATGAGTTCAGTATGTTTCTTTTCATTTCCAGCAATTAAAAAAAAAAGATTAAATAATAATACTAAAGGTAGTGATTTCACTGCACGTGGCCAATTTTTAATCCATTCTCAATCTATTAGCACTGAGGAAAAGGAAGGGGCTCTTCTAGAGCCCAGCACATATTACGGGCTGTGTTGGTGTCTACAAGCATCATTACTTCATTCTCATCACAACAGCCCTCTGAATATGGTCAGTATCACAGCCATTGCTTCACTCTACAGGGAGGGTGCTGAAGCACACACAGATTATATAAACTGCCTAAAGTCTTCACCCAGCAGGGGGAATTCTGACCTGAGAGTGAACCAGGGCCAGAGCACCCCCTTCTACCCTCAGCCCCCAACTCAGCCCACAGGCAGATTTGCTCCATCCATCTTCCCTGCCTGGGAGAACAGTCCCAGGGCCCAGTCTTGGATGGCATCCCCTGAATTCCTTTGGGAGACACTCCCTCTCCAAAGATGACTATATTCACTCTGTAGTATTTACTGCACATGAATAAGTCCTGACAAATCCTGAATACTTTGGGAAAGAAGTGTCCGTTGATTAACAGTCTCATTCTACACGTGGTGAAAAGTATGAAGATCGGGGCCTCCCAGGTGGCCTACGCATTCAGTCTCAGCACTATCAGGGGGCTGACCCACATAGTGCACAGCAGACCTCTCCTATCTCTCCTGCTGCTCCCCTCAGCAGTGGATTTCAGTTGATCTGCCTATTCTGCTCCCCAATCTGTCTCTGAAGAATCCTCTCATCCCCCACACGCTTGGCCTGCACCCCAGTTTTTCTACACAAAAATAAATAAAATCTTAAAAAAAAAAAAAAAAGAAAGAAAGAAAGAAAAGAGCAAAGACCAAGCCACAAGTATCTGGGTAAAGTACAAGTCAATGAAAGATCTGAAATCAGGCTCTAAGACCCCCAAGTCCTAGCCCTATAGTCCAGGCTAATGAATGTCCACTGAACCCACAATCTAAGTTAAGGAAGACCTATCTTACTCTTTTAGAAAAGTAATACAGACACACAAAATGAGTGTCAGTGACATTCAGCCAAACAAATAATTCCTCCATCTTGGAGTCAAGGCCCTGAGCAATCTCCCTTGCCATCTTCATGAAGATTCTGAGATCCCTGCTCCCATGGACAGCCTCAGATTGCTTAGGAATGATGACTACTCCCTCATTAAAGGGAGGCTGATCATCCAGTACAGCAGCGGAGCTCTAGACGACTGTGATTCTAAAGAAATCAGAAAAAAACAGAAGTGAACATCGGCCTTCCCATGACATCCAACATGCAAAGCTGCCACAACAGGTCGGGGGTCAACTTGGCTTCAGACAGCTCCTTTGGAAATGCCCAAGACCACCTCCACAAGAGGTGTAACCTCAAGGCCAGTCAGTTTTAGAGCGCCTCCATACCTATCAGAACCCACCAGGGGTCTCCTGCAAGAAGCTGCTACACCAGGTTTCCATGTCACTTCTCTTACCAAAGAAATTCTGCTGTAGGGACCTCCCCAGCCCTGCTCCCCACTCCCGTGCCCCATCAATGCAGGATTCAGAGCAGCAGATACACTGATTTTATTGCTGTTAACTTCAGAACCTTGTTTTGTGGGTTATGTAAGGTCCGCATGCCAAATTTGAATCAGAACATTGAAACAAGTTTGGAAATAGCGGCTCCTCTCCAGTATTTATATCTTTTCTAGAGAGAAAATTCTGATACTGTGCAGTGCCCTGCACTAACACAAACCTGATTCCCACGAGGTCTATCAATGCCACTATCACTCCTGTGTTACAAGTAAGAAAACAAAGGCTGAGCAGCTGCTGTTTCTGTCATTCACATGCCTGGTAGGTTTAAGCATCAGCTCTAGGCTCCAAACCCATTCCCAGCCCTAAAGAATCACAAAGCTGAAGTGTTTCTTTCATCACATTTCCATGTTATTCTTTACTCCTGTGAGCAGACCCGGTGACTTAGGTACTAGTCAAATGAACAGAAACCCATACTGATCATTTGGTCTTTTTATTTACATTAAATACAAAGTATCAGCAGGGCTGATACTTATTCTTGCTTCATATTCCAAACCTGAAGTGGTTGTCTTTGAGGGAGTCACAAATTTCCAAAATACATAATAACTTGGCGGGGCGGGGGGGGGGGGGGGCTCATCCCCGCTTCCTTACTTCCTACACAAGGTTGCCAAAAGTTTGCTTAGTCATCTTGGCCCTATTTCTAGCTCCTTAGGAGCTTGGTGTCCAGAGCACCAAAACTGTTTTCACCTCTAAAGTCGACAGAAAGCATCTCTGTGGTCGATACGATCAACGGGTGACACTAATTTTAATAATCTAGCATTGAGACAATCCCAATTGTTATGCCATATATACAGCCTGCAAGCCCTTTCCCTTGTTTTACTCAGTTCTGCAACCGTAGATTATAACCTTTATCCTAAAGAAAAGCATGCTGATCTTAGCTGCTAGCACCTCACGGTGAAACTGTCACGTTTGTCTCCCTCCCTGGACCACAGAGTCCTCAGGGAAGGGGCTGTTTACTGCGAGGGCACTATCACTCCTGTGTTACAAGTAAGAAAACAAAGGCTTTGAGCAGCTGCTGTTTCTGTCATTCACACGCCCAGTAGGTTTAAGCATCAGTTGTGTAATGGGCAACTGGTGATGCTTACTGGATGAGCTGAGTGGTCCACCCCAACAGAGAAGCGCCCCTTCAAAGTCAAGGTGAGCTTCTGCACCAGAGGAAGTCTTCCCACTTAAGGAAAGAAAAGAAAAAGCAGAGGCATCTGGGACAAGAGCAGCCCTCATGGCCTCCCTCAGGCCCCCAAGTTCCAGCATCAGGTTCTATGTTATTAACACTATCAAAGTTCATGCTCAAAGTGTATTTGCCAGATACGGTGTAATGAATTATCCAAACACCCCATTTAGATTATGTAGCAGCCCAAGGCAAAAGGGACGCTTAATTTTATCCATGTTACAAATGCTGAAACAGAGACTGGGTTCACTCTCAAACTTTCTCCAAATTTCAAAGCCAGCCTATGCCAGAGCCAGACTTCAAACGCAAGCCGCCTAGCCTTGACCCCTCTGTCTGCCTCCCCACACAAAACAGTCAATTCCAAATCTTGCTCTTTACATGTCAGTTAGAAAATTCCCCATCATAAAGCTGTCAGAGATAAAAGACTCACAGAACTTCTAGAATGAATGGGTTGACTATTATTATTCAAATGGACCTTCATAAGTCAAAAAGAGGTGGGATTCTCTGACTGACTCCAGGATCTCTCTAATTTTCCCTTCTGGAAGCACTGGTATAAGTGGTTGAGTTGAGAGCTGACTGTCCTTTTGTATTATGGTGATGTCTCTGATTTCCTAACTATGTTTATAAAAAGCACAGTATTTGCATTATTAAAATAGGTAAGATATGGAAACAACCTAAATGCGCAAAAAATTGAGGACTGGATTAAAAAGAAATGGTGTATAAACACAAAATACTAGTCAGCCATCAAAAAAATAAACTCATGCCATTTGCAGCAATGTGAATAGTGCTGGAAGGGATCATGCTCAATAAAATAAGCCAGAAGAAAAAAAAATATATCGGATGGTTTCACTTATAGAGGAAGAGAGGGAAACCAAAGAAGTGATCAAGAAAGAAATATTAATAAAATTAACAGGCAACTATATATATGAGACATTCTGCAGGGGAAGCAGAAGGAGATAGATTAAAACAAGGGAGGGAAGAGCATAAGGGACTGTGGTGATAGTGCCCAGGTGACTTGGTGGTGGGAATTTTACAAGGACAACATCTGAGAGGAGAAAGCAAACAGTGTACAAAAACGAACAGTGATGTAAAATACGCACACGCACACACACA